TACACATAAACTGAATCCAGTGATAACTCAAAAAGTACTGGAAATATTTTTATGAAACTTGACATATGGGTAGATAGCAGTCTTGAGATTATGCATGCCTTATCTGTTCTTCCTATTTTGAAAAAATATCAGTTGCCTTGGCAACAAATAGGCTTAAAACATGGCAAATATAACAATATTTGTGATTAGTCAAAAAGAGCTGAACATTTTTATGAAATTGCATCTTTAATTCAAGAGTTATCTCCTCTTTAAGAATTTTGCTTTTAAAATGTTATATTTTGGTAACAGGTATGTTTCAAATATTAACTTTAGAGTGTCTTTCAGTCCGTCTGTCTGTCTGTTCATAAAAACTGTTTCCTGTGATCACTTTTAAAGAACTTTTCCAACAAATTTACTTAAAATAGAGAAAAATTGAAACATTAGTGAATGGCCAATGGCCCTTCAGAATGTTGATGGGGTTCTAACCGGTAGGGGACTTATGGATTGCTTGCAATACTATGATAATTGCTTGTTTTAAAAAAGGTTTTCGTTCTGTCTCAAGGGGCCCTTTTTTTTTTTTTAAATATAACGACTTTTGTTTTTGAAGTATTAACTTGTAAACCCCAGTATGTACAATATTCATATAATAAGTTTAGACTGGATTGTAAATCTTCTATAGAATGTCCTACTAACACCATATCATCAGCAAAGAGTAAAATAATGATACAAAGTTCAAAAATTGACAGACCACAATTTATCTGTTTTGTAAATATAGTTCTAAGTCCTCTAAAAAAAGTGCAAACATAACCGGAGAATTATTCAGGCCTTGACGAAGACCAATTGCAATTTCAAAAAAGTCTGAGAATGTGTTGCAATACTTAATACATGATTTAACAACAGTATGCATAGCCTGGAACATTTTTAAATTTTTTCCATCAAAACCCATGTTAAACAATTTGAACCATAAAGCGTTTCTATAAACAGAGTCAAACACTTTCGTGAGATCTATAAAAGCGCATGGCTGTGGCATTTTTTGAGTTAAAACATGTTCTATCAAGTTGTGTAAAACAAATACCGCGTCGACTGTACTTCTACCCCTACGAAAGCCAAACTGTGCATCTGATAAAAAATTGTTATCATCAAACCATTTTTCAACTCTTCTAGTAAGAACAGAAGTAAAAAGTTTTCCAAAATTACTAATGAGAGTTATTCCACGATAATTATTCGGGGTATTTTTGGACCTTTTTTATGTAATGGCACTATAAAGCCTTGAGACCAAATTTCGGGAAAGTGACCAGAATCAAATATCTTATTGAATAAATCTGTGATATGCCCAACGAGTATATCTGCCGTAGAGATAAAATATTCGTTTAACAAATTATCGCTTGGGCAAGATGATTTGTTACTTTTAAGACGCTTAATTGCTGACAGTACCTCATTACAAGTAATAGGAGTATCTAATTCCTCGAAAGTTGCATTATTGATATTGAAATCATTGTTGCTATTGAAATTTTCAACTTGTTCGATAAATGTGCTTTGAATATCAGTAAAAATCCCTTTAAAATAATCGCGGAAATCATCAATAGGAATTTGTGAGTCAGTAGTCTCTCGCTTATTTTTAAAATGCTTCCAAAAATCTTTAGGTTTACTGTTTTTCAGACGGGTAAGTTCATCTGCCATTTTAATTTTATATGCGCGTTTCTTCTTACGTATCAAATTTTTATAAGATTTCTTTTTATTGCAAAGTAAAAACCTAGATTCAGTCGATTTATTATTATTAAATATAGCTAATGCATCTTTATATATACGTTTCGCCTGAGCGCACTCAGAATCAAACCATTTGCTCTCTGGATATGAACGGTTGTTACCATTAATAAAAATATGCATAAATAATGGACCTGCTACATCGGAAACTAAATGTGAAATATCAAGAACCATTTGTTCTATTTCAATAGAATTGGCAACATTGCTTTTTAAAATATCGTTAAATCGTGGTAAAATTCCTATAATACCACGTCTAAACTGATCCTTACAATCGACACCCCATTTAAAATAAACACCTTGTTGGTTTGTTATTGTTTTATCGATACCGAGTGGAGCGCCTTTAATCGTAAATAAAAGTATTGCATGGTCGCTGTAAATATTGAATTCACTTATTCTAAAACTAAAGTGTTTTTCTTGTAACAAGAGATAATCTAGTGTACTGCACGTCTGACGACAATAATATGTATACGAGCCAGTGGCAAAATCATCACCTAAAATCTACCGTTAGCTAAGCGCATACACGTTGACTTACACAAATCGAGCAATTTAATACCCCGTGTGTTACATACAGTATCGAATGAGGCCCGTACTATTGGTTTATCGGGGTCATAATTTTCGCAATCAATTTCTTGAATTTCCCGATCACATAAAATATAATCATCTTTGTTTCCAACTCTACAGTTCCAATCACCTGCAAGCAAAACTGTTCCTAATTTTTCGAAATAAAAAATATCTTGTTCAACTATATCAAAAAGATCTGCATTAATTGTATTACATATAGGTGACTCATCCGACCATATATAAACACCGCCAATATAAACATCATCAATAAAATAAAAAAACAGTTTATCTAGCTTTAACCAAAGTATCGTATCATAATGGTTTTTTAATTATCTTAACACCAGATTTTATAGAATTGCGAATATACACAACAATACCTCCACAGTTTCGTTTTGCTTTTTTGTGCCTAAATTTACGAAAATAATTGTAACAAGTAAAATTAACAATATCTAACTTTGAATTTTCATCGGTCCAAGATTCTGTTAAAATGATAATATCGTTTGTTACGATTTTATTTATAAATTCACTATCATTAAGTTTATTTTCGGTGAGTCCATTGCAGTTCCATACACAAATTTTTGGGCCATCCTCCACTAAATCCTAGTCAACTTTTACAGGTTTTCCGTCTATAAACAGAGTATCGTAAGATATCCAGGCTTCTTTATGATGTTCGTGAAATTGGCAGCCTAGCAGCCTAGCAGCCCAGCAGCCTGAAGTTGGCAGCCTAGCAGTCTAGCAGCCTAGCAGCCTGGCAGCCTAGCAGCCTAAAGAAAACTAAGAATAGTACAAACATGAAATCGTTGGATATGAATCGGAAGCACATACTTAGACCATTGCACGTCTTATTTCAGTATCGCGATCTTCATTTTTTTAAATATTGAACTTTAAAATTTGTTTTTTTTTTATTTTGACGCTTCGAAATTTTTGAAGTTAGCAGCCTAGCAACCTAGCAGCCTAGCAGCCTAAAGAAAACTAAGGAAAATACAAACATGTAAACCGTCGGAAATGAGTCGGTAGCACATACTTAGACTATTCCACGTCTTTTTTCAGTATCGCGAACTTTATTTTTTTAAATATTGAACTTTGTTTGTTTTTTGGGTTTTTTTTTTTACACTTCGAAATTTGTGAAGTAAGCAGCCTAGCAGCCTGGCAGCCTGGCAGCCTAGCAGCCTAAAGAAAACTTAGGACAATACAAACATGTAAAAGTCGGAAATGAGTCGGTAGCACATTCTTAGACTATTCTACGTCTTTTTTCAGTATCGCGAACTTTATTCTTTTTTTAATATTGAACTTTGTTTATTTTACTCTTCGAAATTTGTGAAGTTAGCAGCCTGGCAGCCTGGCAGCCTAGCAGCCTAAAGAAAACTTAGGACAATACAAACATGTTAAAGTCGGAAATGAGTCGGCAGCACATTCTTAGACTATTCTACGTCTTTTTTCAGTATCGCGAACTTTATTCTTTTTTTAATATTGAACTTTGTTTTTTTACGCTTCGAAATTTTTGAAGTTAGCAGCCTAGCAGCCTAGCAGCCTTAAGAAAACTAAGGAAAATACAAACATGAAAACCGTCGGAAATTAGTCGGAAGCACATACTTAGACTATTCCACGTCTTTTTTCAGTATCGCGGCTATTGATCAAATGGGTATTGTTCTTAAGTTCAGATAATCTTTATGTTCATTAATGTGTTCGTTTAAACATATGCATTATATATTTCTTGACATTTCAACCGATTTATCTTTACAGACCTAAAATAAATATGCGTTGAACATCGTCAACTTCATTATAAACATATACATACAAAATAGCATATCATAAATAAGTCACATGATATCGCTTATTGTCCATAGACAGCGACATTATTAGCCGCGAAAGTGTTAAGATTAAGACTACTTCCTACTTTATTCGAAAACATGTTTAATCCCCAAATTTCGAAGCGTCAGAATGAAAAATATAATAAAATTCAATATTTAAAAAATAAAGATCGCGATACTAAAATAACACGTGGAATGGTCTAAGTATGTGCTACCGACTCATTTCGTTTGTATTATCCTTAGTTTTCTTTAGGCTGCTAGGCTGCCAGGCTGCTAGGCTGCTAACTTCACAAATTTCGAAGAGTAAAAAAAAAACAAAGTTCAATATTAAAAAAAAATAAAGTTCGCGATACTGAAAAAAGACGTGGAATAGTCTAAGTATGTGCTACCGACTCATTTCCGACGGTTTACATGTTTGTATTGTCCTTAGTTTTCTTTAGGCTGCTAGGTTGCCAGGCTGCTAGGCTGCTAACTTCACAAATTTCGAAGTGTCAAAAAAAACAAAAAAAAACAAAACAAACAAAGTTCAATATTTAAAAAAATAAAGTTCGCGATACTGAAAAAAGACGTGGAATAGTCTAAGTATGTGCTATCGACTCATTTCCGACGGTTTACATGTTTGTATTTTCCTTAGTTTTCTTTAGGCTGCTAGGCTGCTAACTTCACAAATTTCGAAGAGTAAAAAAAACAAAGTTCAATATTTAAAAAAATAAAGATCGCGATACTGAAATAAGACGTGCAATGGTCTAAGTATGTGCTTCCGATTCATATCCGACGATTTCATGTTTGTACTTTTCTTAGTTTTCTTTAGGCTGCTAGGCTGCCAGGCTGCTAGGCTGCTAGGCTGCCAACTTCAGGCTGCTGGGCTGCTAGGCTGCTAGGCTGCTAGGCTGCCAACTTCACGAACATTTCTTTATGCTCATCCTTATCTTTCTTTAGTAATGGTATCAATCGCCGGCGTTTGTTCACAACCTCTGGCGGAAACTGTTCGTGCAAGTAGAAACTTGTTCCATTCAGATTAAAACGCTGCCTCCTGACGTGTTCACGATCCTTGAAATATGAGAACATACATACTATTTTACGATTGTATCGCTTATTTGGGTCACTACCCTGAGATCCTATACGATGTGCGCGCTCAATCTTTATTCCATCTACAATTTCTTTCGCTAGCTTCAAATTGTCGCACAAATGCTTCCGTAATATTTGTTCCGTGTCTGCCGGTTTCTCATTAGGAATTTCAGGAACACCTCCAAATAATAGGTTATTTCTCATTTGTTGCGATTTTAGATATGAAATTTCACCTTTTAATTCAGAATTGCTTTTTTGAAGGTCTTCTATTTTTGAATCACTACTTGAGCCCGAGAATTCGACAACTTCAACACGTTCTTCTAGCTTGTTAATTTTATCGTCAGTACACTTTTTGTTTTCATGAATATTAAGCCACATTTTCTTCAAATCATTTTCAAAGTTATCAACTTTCTTCTCCAAATTATCTAACGTTTTCAATTTCAATTCAACGTTTTCGATTTTACCTTCAATTTTCTTCAGAAACATAATTATATCAGCATTAGAAGGCGATGAATGAACTGACGCAGGGCTTTCAGCACTTTTCTTCCCAGTTTTGCTCATATTCCCAATATCTGTAGAACTTGAATAAGATAACGACTGATTTTCTATATTTGAAAAAAACTTGATCATCAAACAGTACACTGTTAGTTGTGTTTAAAATTTGACTTACAGAGATGCTGTTTGAAAAGTTATCTTCATATAGTTCCTCTGACGGGTCTCCCTCCGCTTGTTTATAAATTTTAATCAAATTCACAAATTCATCGTCCTTACTATTTCCCTTTTTCCGTTTCGCTTTATTTTTTTCTGCATGATTCTTAGCTTGGTTTTTGACAAAATAACGATGATATCATATGTCTGTCCACCATATCTGTAACGTTTCACTGATTAAAATTGTTAAATAATCCTTTGTTGCATGCTTAAATCGTCTGCATGTTCCAGTTTGACACATAATTATTTACATTGCAATTACTTCCGTTGAAAACGGATGTTCACTTTTTGACTATTCAACAAAAAGATATTTTATACGCGAAAAGCACACCAGGTTGCAAACAACTAAATTTTATGAGTTTCATAGTTACTTCAGAGAAGAAATTGATGTCCTATCGGGTTTAACGTTGAAAATAAGAATGAATCGAGAAAAAAATGGCGGCCATTTTATTTCATTTTATTTAGAAAATAGACCACGAGACCAGATTTTATACTGTTAAAAATACTGTTACCTATGTAACAGTACAATATTCTTAGTCACGTGGTACACTTGCATTAACAGTAAAAATAACTCCCAGAGGCCTATGGGAAATTAGCATTACGAAAAAAATTAGGGGTAATAATATTAATATCATCCCTCGTAAAAATACTGTTACTCTCGGCTACGCCTCGGATAACAGTATTTTTCTAGGGATTATATTTTAACTGTTATTTATATACTGTTAAAAAGTATTGTTACCTTTGTAACAGTACAAAATTTTTAGTCACGTGGAACACTTGCATTAACAGTAAAAATAACTCCCAGAGGCATATGGGAAAATAACATTACGAAAAAAGTGAGGGGTAAGATTTTTCAGCTATCATTAGTGACATATCTTCAATTACAATTCTGACTTAAAGAAGACGCAAAGAATTAAGGAGGGTTACCATCCGGATTTGAAAATATGGTCATTTTAAATTGTAAATTACATTAATTGTATCTATTTCATGCTAAAAAGTATAAATAGAATATAAAATATTAAACAAAATATTTAAAAATATTTCAGAATATTAAAACAGAAAACCATAATATCACCAGATCAGGTAAAAAAGAACATGACATGAATGCTCGTCATAAATGAGGATCAGTAAGAATCAGTTACGAAACTTATATCTCAATATAATCATCATCATCTTACGTATGTATGGTGGCATATTTCTGCCACCAGGTAACCATATAACTAGTTACGTAACTAGTTAACCACTTAACTAACTAACTAGTTAATCTCAAAATTAACTAGTTAGTTAAGTAATAAACTAATTACGTAACATGTATTGAACATTTTTAGCGCTCATTTGTTATTTATTACATTACATTTTTCTTTAAAGAAAAATCTGTATTTAAACCCATTTGTAAGTAGTACATATATTTTGTATAAAATATTTGGTCTTTTCAGTTTTAAAATGTCTGCTTTTGAAATGGCTATCTATAGTTCGTATCCGAACATACTTTTATAATAATGACATTAAACAGTCTCTTATGAAAAAAAAAACACAAAAAGACTGATTTAACCCATTTGGCTCTACGACACCACTCCATGTGTAAGATATATTCCTAATAACAGACAAATGCAACAACTATCTTTCTTGGGATAGGAAGTGGTCATATTTTATGCGGGAGTGTATATACATGTAATGCTCTCCGTAACATGATCATAGAATAATATAGTTTTGAAGTTATTATATAAATAACACATGGGTTTGTGGGTAACAGTAAAAATATCATCCCGAGGAAAAAACTGTTACCCGAGGGTATTTATTTTATTACACCGAACAAAAACTGTGATCATATGAAATTGTCAACTAAATCTAACTGTAACAAAAATAAACCAAGAGTAACAATAACTAAACAGCCCTAACCTTTTAGTTTTAAGTGTACTGTACAGTAAGCCTACTTGAGATTATTTTCTTTTATTCTTTAAGCAAGTGATGATATTTACCAGTCAAAAACATACAATAAACTGTGTTTTATTTAGAAAACAAAACACAAACCCATTTATACGGTTATGATCAGTTAAATCTGATCCTTCTGTATCCAGACTATTCTTCGCATGGTTTTTGACCTATGTGTTGATATCCTACAGTATGTCTGTCCAGCATATCTGTAATGTTTCACTGATTAAAATTGTTAAACAATCCTTTACTCGTCTGAATGTTCCAGTTTGACTCCTATTCACATTGCAATTACTTCCGGTGAAAACGGATGTTTATTTTTGGACTATTCAACAAAAAGATATTTTATACGCGAAAGCACTCCAGGGTGCAAGCAACTAAATTTTATGGGTGTTCATAGTAACTCTAGTGATGCCCGATAGTGTATAACTTCAAAAATAAGAATGAATCGTGAAAAAATGGCGGCCATTTTATATTATTTTATTTAAAATATAGACCACGTGATCAGATTTTATACTGTTAAAAAGTACTGTTATACCTATGTAACAGTATAAATTTCTTGGTCACGTGGTACACTTGAATTAACAGTAAGAATGACTCCCAGAGGCCTATGGGAAATTAACATTACGAAAAAAGTGAAAGGTAATGATATAAAATGTTAAAACGCCAATGTACTGAAATCTATAATATAATCATTTGAGGAGGATGACGTCTGATAATTTGGGCGATCGTACTGTATATAAATTAATCGTTGCACACGATATAAAGAATGCCCCCAATTCTGGTTCTTTAAAAAGTTACATAATAAGCATTGCGCATAGTATCCATTTGTTACTCGTCATATATCCGAATATGTATACATATAACCGATTGCTTTTACACGAAATTGAGTGAATTTGACACTTATTTAGCAGATAAATCATCAGGAGGTCCAGGGTTGCTTGGTCGTGTGTTGGTTGCGTTCATTGAACGCCGCCCTTTCTTGTTGATATTGTTTTCATATTTATATATGTACGTATAGCTGCCCTAGAGGGCTCCTTGTCGATGCCTTGTGTGCCTGGCATTGTTGTAGTCTGCTTATATTAAATATCTCATTTCTTTGTTCGCGTATTTTACTGTTTTGGCGTGATTCATCTTCATTGCCCGTAACAGTTTCAAACTAGGCCCTGAGATTTCTTTTAACAAGATAATCTATAAAAGGTTCCTTTGATAATATACAAAAATAAAACCACACAATGGATACTTTCTTTTTATCTCAATCTCCAACTCAGGAACAGCTCGGTATTGATGGCATAATATGAACTATTAACACACCATTATAAAGTCCATCTAAGCTGAACTTCAATGTTAAAATCAACAGGTGCTAAAAACGCCGGCCTTTCAATATCCATTGACAGCATTGCTGCTTCCCATAGGGTAAAATAGAGAAAAATGAAATCGTTAAAGAACGTCCAGAACAACAAAATTGAAAATGTTGCAGGCTCGATTTAAATCGGCTTGTTCATGGACTGTACTGGAAAATGCAAATTACCGTCTATGCCCCCTTGCATTGGTTTAAGCAATATATGGCAAATGTGAAATTTTGAATTTAGAAACATCAGAAAATATGTTCATACGGCGTTTATCATGGAACCATCAATGTGACTCTTAGTGTCATTCCATGTAAAGAGGCGTATGGTCACCAATTTAAAAAATGAATTAAAAAAAAATGCATGTGATTGACGAAATTCACCAATTAGGAGAAATTGTTCTCGTCGCTTACATGAACTATTCTCCAAAGAGAGGGGTATGGCTTTTAGCAACATATGTCAATGGGGATATTGATCAGTACGTTTCAAAGCTTCAAGGGACAAAACAACCAATAAACATCGGATATATCGTAGACATTTTTTTGATGCGGATATTGATATATTCGAGATTTGACCATTTCATGTTGAATGTTGAATTCTGCTTGAGACGATAGACATTAGTTTGCAATGTCCCATGAAAAGGTTTAATCAAGCTGAGACTTCCACATATTTGATTTTGCCGTTTTGGACGTTCTTCATGGGTCTATTAGAACAGTTTGTGACCTCTGGACCATTGATTCCATATTATACTTCATATTATTTGATTTAATTGTAGTTTGTACTTATACTAAAATGAAACACGATTGTGATATTAAATTACATTTTACACTTTATTTTTTTAAAAAGATTTTCTTTAAAAACCCCTTTAGAAATGGGGATAATTTTTTGCAGGGCCTTTGCACTTTCCGATTTTTTGAACCAAATAGTTTTCGGGTTATTCGGTCCCCTTTTTTAAAATATGCCATTTTGTACTATTTTCGGGCCATATTTTCTGTTAACGGGGGTTGATAAGGTTTCTACAGTACTTAATAACATAAACCCAAAACATTGTTGCTATTTTAGATTTTTTAAATTTAAATTTCATAAAAATTTCATGTAGACTATATAGGTAAACTACTAACTATGTATTTGTTATCTGTCTAATGTCAAAATGGTTTGTACCATTGTAACGTTAATGTAATGTTATAAATATATGTAAGAGAACGGGTTAATTTATGTTATAGTCCAGGTTAATATACAGTATACAGGTTAATATATTAAAGTTCAGTTTAATTAATGTTATAGTACATATAAATTTATGTTATATAAAATTACAGCTTAATTTATGTTATATTACAGCTTGATTTATGTTATATTACAGCTTAATTTATGTTTTATTACTGCTGAATTTATGTTATGTCACGGAATAATTTATGTTCTATTACAACTTAATTTATGTTATATTACAGCTTAGTTTATGTTATATTACTGCTTAATTTATGTTATATGACAGCTTAATTTATGTTATATCACAGCTTAACTTATGTTATATTACAGCTTGATTTATGTTATTATATAGCTTAAAGTGTCTAT